GCTCTAATTGGACAACTCCTGGGATAGACGTCAGAGATTATCGGAGAGGAAACTCGATGATACATTGCGCGTATCCCCCGCGACTAGCTTCTATTGTGAACGCGGCTTGAAACGCGGAGGGCCGATAATTACGTCACAGAAGGCATCGTAAATCTGCCACCGCGATCTCCCGTTTTCCTCCTCTCTCCCTCACTCCTTCTCTCCCTCCCTCCCCCCCCCTCTCTCTCTCTCTCTCTCGCGCGCGCGCGCGCGCGCGCGCGCGCGCGCGCGCGTAGAAGATTCTTCCAGGAGAGAAACCTTTCTGGTGAAAACTCGCGTTCCCGACGTGAACGCTCGCGTTCTCGGGCGAGTACCGAGACGGTCGGTGAGGCGAAAACACCCCCGGAGAAAGAGTCCCGCCGCGCGGGGCATAACCCCCCCCCCTCCCGTCTCTCTGGAAGAGTTCCAGGCGCGCGTGAGAGTATCCATCAGCGTTATCTCGAGATCTCCACGGCCTCGGAATGGATTCATTAAGGGCGAGGTTCATTAGCATCCCGGGGGAGAGATTGTTGCTCGCGCTCTTTCGGAGTTTCGTTCTTCGTGCCTTCGCGTTTCTTCCGTAACCTTTCCGCCGCTCTCTCACCCTCGTGCCCTCCCGCTCTATCATCAGCCGCCTAAACGATCGCGCGCGAGATTCGATTCGAGCGCTGTGAACTCCCGCCGCACGATATCGTTGCATTTGAAAAATGAAAGTGATCTCTGAGAACGGACGGCGGCGTTTAATGTTCGCGTACTTAAGAGGACGAGCGGCTCGAGCAGCCGCCTGGTCGATCGATCGGGCATCGGGCATAATCCGCAAACGACGTTAAGACTGCCGTAATGAGATCGCAAACGGCAGTAGCGCGAAAACGTCCCGCAGGATAACGGCATTTCCGGATTATTAGTTGTGCGAAAGAATAAACAGCTGACCGTTTCGAACCAACCGCTAATCCAGTCTTACTAAAGGGATCTCTGTTTTCATTCTCCACTTCACAATACTCGGTCGGTTCTCTTCTCAGGTAGAAGAAAATCCTGGTATCAGGTAGAAAAAAGTCGGAAAATCTTGGTATCAGGTAGAAAAGTTGAAATTTAGAACTTTCCAAAATATTTACGATCTCAGCAATAGTAAATATTTTTCTTTTTTCTTTGATTTACAGCAACTATCGGGAAGAACTGAAATGTTTCCTCGGTGAAGTTGGCACGACATTCTTTAAATTTTAAAGAAACAATGATGGTTCCAGCAGCACTTTTCATAGTTCTAAAATTCCTGATAGAAAATAAAAAGAGTTCCGCACTTTTAATACCAAAAAATAGCAAATGAAAAATGTCGTGCCAACTTCGCGAATCTAGCACGACGAAGAAGACGAAGACGACGGCGAAGACGATGAAGACGATGAAGATGACAAAGACGACGAAGACGGCGAAAACGACCAAGTGTCTGTGAACGTTGGTACGATATTCTTTAAATTTAAAGAAAAAAGGCAATGATAGTTCTAGTAGCATTTTTTTATAGTTCTAGAGTTCCTGATAGAAAATAAAAAGAGTTCCTCATTTTTAATACCAGAAAATAGCAAATGAAAAATTGTGCTAACTTCGCGAATCTAGCACGCGAACACTTCCTTCTCTAATCTATAAGAAATTAATAAATATCACTGCTTTTGGCAAGAGTTCCCGTTAGTTCTAATCGAGTTCCATCTCTGTATGTAATTAAATTAAAAAAACTTCAATAATTACTTACAATTATTTACATAAACAACGTATATTATACCTAGCACGACACTCGGAGAAAAAGTGCTGATCATTTCTAGCGCATTTGTCGATATATATCGATAGTTCTAACAACTACGATCATTTTTAGTCAGAGTTCCAATGGCTACCTATTTTTAAATAATTTTTAAATTTTCGGACCCAGCACGACACTCGGAGAAAAAGTGCAGTGCTAGGTTCAAAAATTAAAAAATTATTTTAAAATAGTTAGCGACTGGAACTCTATTCCAGTCTAAAAACGATCGTAGTTGTTAGAACTCATGTAGAATTGTCGATATATATCGAAAAATGCGCTAGAAATGATCAGCACGACACTTTTTCTCCGAGTGACGTGCTAGATACAATATACGTTGTTTGTGTAAATAACGTAATTGTTGAAGTTTTTTTTAATTTAATTACATACAGAGATGGAATTCGATTAGAACTAACGGGAACTCTTGCTAAAAACAGCGATATTTATTAATTTCTTATTAGAGGAGGAAGTGTCGTGTTAGATTTGCGAAATTAGCACAATTTTTCATTTGCTATTTTTTGATAGTAAAAATGCGAAAGTCTTTATTTTCTAACAGGAACTCTAGAACTATGAAAAGTGCTACTAGAACTATCAATGTTTTTTTTTAAATTTAAAGAATGTCATGCCAACTTCACAGACAATGTTTCCCCATGTTAAGTACACTCTTTCCAACGACGAGACGATTACCGTATTCGTATATTACGTTACCCTGAGCACTTTCAGTTCAACCGATCACGCTATTCACCATTAACTATTGTATATTGTTGATAATCTAATATTAAGCTATCATGTGTCTGCGTCAACATTAATTCAACGTGTAAAGCCAGTTGAAGTTCCTACAAGTTTCCTACTGAGGCAAATAAACGACATTTATCACGAATGCATTTGTTACTCCTCCATGAACAGCAAGCTTTCTCGAAATATCGTAATGAGACGCATCATTATATCGCGGTACCCGCTACGATAAAGTCACTGAAGAACATAACGACATAATCGACGCGTGTTAATTGGCGGCTGTCACGTGTCATTAAGATAATTTTTCGCCGAATTCTCGGTATGATTCACCATGCATGTGCATGTGCAGCGACCCTCGCACACATATGTATATGTGTGCGTACACACGCACGCACGCACGCACGCACGCACACACACACACCCGGCTTCCTACAGATGGGCCCGGGGGTTAATCCCTTGGATGACACAATGTCCGCGTAATCGACGGAAGGACGAGCGTGCAAGGAAGGAGCACGAGAAGCAGGAAGGAAAAAAAAAGACGCGAAGGACCACCGCGCCTCGTCATTCTGGCGTTCCCATAATCCTCCGGGAGCATTCGCGATCAGACAGGACACACACGTCCGTGTGCTCGCACGAGCTAAATGGAAGCCCAAGGAAGGAGAAAACGAGTCGCGCGACCTGAATAACTCCGCCCGGATGTTTCTGATGCGTGGCTTAGTAGGCTGCCGGGTTCGTGAAGAGGACCGATGAACTTCGGATCATGATGCGACCTTCCTCATTCGTGCTATATCCGTGGCGGCGGATAGACTTGAATTTGTCACGGCTTGAGTCAGGTGCGAACGACCAGTCGGGAAATATCGAGCGAGTTGATCGAATAAAAGTTCACCATCCTGTGCTTTGGACGGCGAGTAAAGCGGACATTTACCGACGGACACGTACTAATAACTTTGTATTGCTTGCATAAATGACAGGGAAAAAAATGCTAAAATCCCGATACCACGAGTATTGAGTGAGCAAATGTTCGTCGCATCGATCCATATTTAATGGACACTCCTTTTATTCCCTCGAGAGATTTGCTTGTTAATCCGTTTACGTATCGGACTTAATTTCGCAACTAGGGTGACCGAAGCAAGATGGAATGGTCGCGCAATTAAAATAGCGCCTTCAGTTATCAATTTATCTCCGTTCACCTGCCTAGGGTTACAATCAGCATCGCCGTGCGCGCAATTTCTCTCCCCCCCTCTCTCTCTCTCTCTCTCTCTCTCTCTCTCTCTCTCTCTCTCTCTCTCTCTCTCGCTGAGAAATGAAAAAGCTCGTTGTCTCCTCACGTGTGGTGCCCCGAGGGCTCGTAAATCGATCAAGTTCCATCCGTTGGAACGGTCGACGAGGGCGCGACCGCCGTTCCTGAAGTGTGCAGGGAACGACGACGAAGAGAACGCGCGAGGAAGCGCGAGGGAAAGAGAGAGATGAGAGGGAGAGGGAAGAGCAATTCCGTTTAACCGCGTCGTTTTACTTCGATAAATATGACGCGCGGCGGAACCCCTTTACCGCTTCACGGAGGAGGAGGGGGATGCAAAACACCCCGTCGCCGCTCGATAGGCGGGGTGCAACGGAACCTGCGTAATCCGCCATACGTTTCCCATGAATATGCATCTGCGAGGCTAATGCGATTTGATTCACGATTGGCCTAAGCGACGCGGGAAGGGCAGACCTCTCGAAAGCCCCGCAATAATTCGATACATCGACCGTGAGGCGCAAATTAATGTTTGTTAGCGTAACGTTTCTCGGCACCGGAGAGACGCGCGCGTCTGCGATGAAAATAAATTACCGTGCGCCGTTGTACATGTATACACGCGCATACAGAGCGCAGACAAGCGCGCGCGCGCGGTCCAATTCGAGCGGGGATTGATTAATACGTCTTGCGATCGCATAGAAATGAGGCGAGTTGCGAAACTTGAGTTACCACTCGTTATCTCGGCGCAATATCCAACGGCCGATTTTGTATTTATTACAGAGCGAGATTTTCGAATCACGCGGCCCCTTACCGAGCCGAGCCGAGAGAATTGCGAAAAAAGAGTAACTTACGCGTATGTGTACGTGTGTGTGTTTGATCAAAATTCCGTAACAAAATGATCTTAATATAAGAAACGACATTCACGACTGTAGAAACTAGAATTTCTCAGAGACATACGAAATTCAACTGTATGCATCCGAAGCATTCATACGACGATTACTTTAGACGGTTCGGGTAACACAACAGAGGTTAGAATGTGAGAGAGTGAGAGTGAGAGAGAGAGAGTGAGAGAGAGAAAGAGCGCGAGAGTGAGAATATAGGTTAGAAATTTGATTCACGAATAGCACCGCCAAGTGTGATCGTTACTTCTTTCGCCCGAGTTCGGTGAGATTTTTAGGGCTATGCATGATGCACTACTCTGTCTCCATTTGGAATGTGAAATTCAACACTCACCATTTCGCGTCGAAACACCGCTCGGCATACCGCTGATGAATCTCGCCATTGGATCTCGATCCTGCACAGCCGGACCCCCGCAACGACCCCGCAACAGTCTTTCCACGCTACCCATCGTGCCCGCGATGATTGCTTCACTTCACTTCACTGCACACGCGACGCAATTAACGATCGTGATTTGATAATGTCGAACGAACGTCTCGACGTCTCGGCGCGGAAATGTTTTGTTCCAATTAATTCGGCCATTGAGTGGGCACGGCGCGGCGGAGCGGGGCGGGGCGGGACGGGACGGGACGCGACGCGACGCGGTGCGACGCCTCGCGACACCTTCACCTTCGCAGCAAAAACTATTACGCTCGCTAGCGTGACGTAGTTCCTCCAATCATCGCAAGGCGCGTGGGAGGGATTGCGCGGCGAGCAATCTGTTGGCGCGTGATTTATCGAACTGTTCGTCATAAAATGTAACGACGAGGTATGATATGTTCTTCTGCTTTTAGAATTAGAATCTCATTGCATCGAGTTTCATTATATCGAGCATATGCCTGTAGTAATTACGTACGCCGCATTTCTACACACGGCACGGATTAACCCGCGAATTAACCGTGTTGAACACGGTGCGTACGTTGTTGAGGTTAAGTGACTTGTGGGCGTTAGATGGAAACGTAGACATGAGATAGATCGCGTATCTCGGTAAAGCGCGACAATTATACGTTCAAATGTACTTTTACAATGTAACAGAGATGTCCGAATTCTTTGCTTTGCAAAATTGCGAGTCAGGGTGAATTTTTTTGGTGTCGGCGACAATAAATCACGACGAGCTTGTTCGAACTCAATAGACGGATATTTCACGAAGCGCGGCAAAGTGATTGCGACGGAGAGGCATTCCTTGCTTTATGATATCTTACAATTTTCCATTTAGGATCCGGAAAACGACTAGACGCGCTGAGGAAGACAAAGCTGACGCGCAACATCACACACACACACAGTCATTCACCTCGGAGGACAATGCCGAAGGAGCAGCATGGACGGACAGAGATGAATGATGGTGAGTTTAGTCGCTTTATCGCTTTATAGCACTTCCGGCAATCGTACTGCAAAATCAATAAAAACCGATTTCACTTTCAACCCCTTGTAAACTTCACGCTGAGAACGATGTCGTGACGACGGGAACGTGAAACGGTATGGGAGGAAAGAGAGCAAAAAAGATACCGAGAAAAAAGAACAAACAAGTAACAATCTTTCGGTAATTTTATGTACACGTGGGAATGAAAAAAAAATTTACGATACACCCTCGTCATATGCCGTCGGAAGATATGAATTGTAGGGTCACGTTCGTCGATAGTTCGTCATCCGCTCTACGGACGATTCTGAACAACGAGCGCGGCGCGTGTTTACGATTACGGTTTTCTCGCTCGCCCTGCTTGCGGAAAAATTGCTGACGAGTTGCTGACGAGTAATTACTGAAGAAGGAGAAGGAATATTTAACGAGGCGCACTTACGTTCGACAGATCGTGCGCCTGGTATATTATGCCGGCAATTTAGATACCGTCGCTACGTGTACGACGAGAGAGTGGCGCACACACACACTGTTTGCCTGATTTCTTTTTCAGAAATTTATACACGAATTCGACACCGACGGAAAATATCGCGCGGTAACGCGTCCGCTCCGCGTGACATTCAGAAACGAAGTGTCTCCGAAGTGTATCATACGAGTTGGGCGAGTTAGAAGTCCGTAAGCACAGAGAAAAAACGTAAACAGAGACGGGAGTGACGCCGAGCGAGTTTATCCGCGACAAATGAAAATACTGCTTTTAATCCGCGTATGCGAAGCGGCGAATGGATGAGGAGTTATTTTTCGTTTATCTGCTATTTCTCGTTTATTACATCTACATATTCGATATTTCGATATATTAGGTAAGAGGAGGAATATTCCGCACGAAATACGTTTCCCGCGCATAGCGTATATTCGGCAATGTAAAAAGAGAAATTGGGTATGAAGTCTGGATATAGACGTATCGGAAAATACATATTTCATCTCGAAATATTTTATGCCGCGAGGTGCGCCGAATAAATAGGATGCGACGAATAAATAGGAAATCGCGAATCGCGAGATGTATCCCTTCCCGTCCCGTTTACGAAGGATCCGAAATACACGATCGAATTCGGGCGACGAAAATTGTAACTGGAACAAAAGATAAACAAATTACGGCGAATTCCCGGACGAAACGAAATTACTTAATCACTGAGTGATCGAGCACGACGAGAAAAGGTCGTTAAAGCCATTCTCGCCGGAGAACGACATTACGTCAGTCGACGATTACCGATCGATTGACTCGATAATCTCGACAACAAGAAAAAAGCGTACGACCGCAAGCTCCTCGAGTGACATTGTGGAAGAGATACACGCATTACCGGAAGGATCCATTCAACGACACGTGGAGTCGTTATTTCACGGGAAACCAGAAAGAGAGCACCTGCGGCTTCGACCGTCGGTCACTTCCTGTATCAGCCTGGGGGTAACCAGGTTAATCCTCGATTGACCCTCGTATACGCAGGTTGGACCTGTCCGGAGGGAAAAAAGGGGCAGAGAAGATACGGAAGAGGGAGTGAGACGAATTCCGGTCCGGCACGCGACCAGAACCGCAGAGAGCAGTGACAAAAAGGTCGCTCGCTCGTCTCTCTTTCTCTTTCTGTCCATTTCTCTCTCTCTCTCTCTCTCTCTCTCTCTCTTTCTCCCTCTCGCATATGTGCACACTCGCATGCGTGTGTAGAGATGGGCTCCTTAACATAACTTTCTTCGCAGCCCGTAGAAAAGGCAGTCCCCTCGGCGCGAGGGCCCGTGCCGTGAACGATGGACGGCTCTTCCTTGGCCCTTCGGCCAAGTTCTGGGCCTTGGCACGACAGGTTGTCGATAATCCGCTACGAGCTGTCGACCTCAGCGTCGATTCGCGCGGACGCGTCGGATCGTCCGACGCGATAACGTTATCGAAATTATATTTGGCTCGACGTAAACTCGTAATGAGGTACCACCGCTACCACCGCACGCCGCGCCGCCGCGAAAATACTCCGAAATGAAGCAGCGAGCGCGCGATGGATGCGCGCGATATTCCACGGAGAGTGGAAAAATTCGCCTTCTCGTTATTCTCGTTTAATTTCGCGACAATTCAACATTAATTCACACAAATTCACGGTATGTTGGCACGGTATGTTTATACCGCACACTGGATTCTTTTACCGAGTTTGTCGAGATTTCGTGTACCTTTCTAGTACCGACTTGAGTATCAAATGGCTGAAAACATACTTGAAATAAACGAACGTCAAGTCTCTTTAATATAATCATTGATGTAATTATTGGCGATTAGTTATATAATTACCAAGTGCTACGCGATCGATCAGCTCTTACAACGACGGTATTTATAATAACGTCGAGGAAGGACGGAAAATACGAAGAAACGCGCACGGTACCGTTGCAATTTCTCAGGGACAGACCGCTCTCGGCATGGGTTACGATACAACTTTATGCCGTAATCGAGGCTTTGATACGATACTAATTTTATACGGATACACTTGCGGACGTGTAACGCGATAGTTTGCCTCACGTAAACTTCAGGTTTCCGACAGGGAGAAAAGGGCGGCTACTGCCCTTCGGCGTTGCCCTCAGGTCGAAACGACAGGTTGTCGATAAACACAGGTACCCATACGACGTCGTCGTAGTGAACCGCATCGACGAACGCTTCCGGCCTCGTCGCCGTGCCAAAGTGTTTCGTCCACTTTTGGGAATACACTAGCGAGATAACGTATATAGTTCAACCCTCCCTCTTATCGAGCGGCTGTTTGATGTTCGATCAATTTTACAGCTCGCCGCCTCGGCAAATAAAGGCTGCTCAAGCTCAGGTTCTTCCCCAAGATAACGAAGAACGCGATTATCAAAATGAGACTGTGAAACGCATATTCGCGTTGTATTCAATGTTTTGAGTGCATACAACAAAGCACGTGAATTTGAATATAGAGATATTTCACCATTTTTCAAGCTCACTCATGTCGACGCGTGAATTGATTTATCTATCGTCAGTAACAATGGGCTTTATAAAATGGTAGTAATATATTTGGCAAAAAGTTATCTCCGTAAAACTTTTAACATATAAATCACAATGCCCAATGGCTATATAAACTATTGAAACACGTCATCAGTTTCGGCGTAATTTGTCGTGCCGCAAAATAGGAAAGTTGTTTTATACTTACACACGTAGTCTCACAATTCGGCGAACGTAAAATATTCCAATAAACGGCGAAAATCGTGAGCTTCGAGGGTTGATTTAACGCAAAATCTCTCGCGCCGCGAGGAGAACGTTCGCATTCCCATGAAACCGGGCGGTGATAGAAGGAAAAGGAAGGGAGATGCATTCTCGCGAAATGTAGGTCGACGATTCAACGGAGTCCCGAGGATATCCTGCCTATAGATCGGCGGGAAGAAGAGGAAGGAGCGCAAAGTGCGCTCATGAATGAGGAGCCCCGAGGACCTTACCCAAGATCCCGTGCACTTGCGTCCCTCTACCGCCCCCCGGAGACACCCCCTTCCGGCTCGACGATTTTATGGGGTTGCCGACCGGCGCGGCGGATACCGCGACGAGTGTCGTCTTAAATTTTCGTGAAGACCGGAGCTCCGCCTCCTCCTTTTCTTCGCGCCGCCGATAACAATGTACACGAGGATACGGACGAGGTGCGGATGTGATAATTAGAGGCTACAGTGACAGTTGGAATGACGCGAGGGAAATTGTGCGCAAAAAGTGTCGCCGGCACTTTTTCCGCGAGGCGCTCGTAAAAGCAGATTCGACTGGAAAATCCACTGGATGCCACGTCAATTTTCAACATTCAAACCCGAGTCACTGAGAAATTAAAATCGCAGAGAAAATAGCTTGCTAATTACTTTTTTCTGTGGATGATAACCTTCCGTTCGATTCGACTCAAATCGTGACGTGATATAATTTATTAATAAATATTTAAATAAAATAAAGCTCGATATATGCACACATTAAACTTTATGAAAGATATTATTAATCGTACATATCGCCGATTCTCAAATTGTTCATTCGTGATACGCGTACGCGTATCACGATCAAAATATAAAGCTCGTTCCAATCCCTTGGCTCTGGAACTTTTCCGTTTTCCGATGCGTGACGGTTTTCTTCTTCTTCTTCCCCTTTCCTTTCCTTTCTTTTTTTATTTCGGATTCTCTAGCGCGTCTCTCGTTGAAGTTTCCTCCATCCAACGAGCAGTTTCGTTTCCACGTCCATCAAGATTTGCCCATAAAACGGATCTTCTCGTGACAATACGCGCGAGCCTTTTTTCTGCGGCGAAGCGGATTCCTTTAACCAGGCATAAGCAACCCCCTCCGTGGCACACATGTGCGTACACGTGTGAACGAAAGAGAGAGAGAGAGGGAAAGAGTGAGCGAAACGAACGTATTTTCGGGAAAAAGGATTTCGTGGGAACTAGGGAGAGCAAGCAAGAGTTGGATTTCGTGAAGAGAAGAGAGCCGTCTGTGCGTGTTTTGAGGATGATCGGCGATACGACGGGAAAGAGGAGCCCGGGAGAAATAATGTCGATGGAAAGGGGGATGAAACGGTCGTTTCATCACAGATTTTTACGGTTTCAACGTGAAACTCCTCTCTCTCTCTCTCTCTTTTAGGGTGCGTCGAAGAAAGAATTACAGCTGAGTGTCAGAATAACGGGATTGATAGTCTCAGCGTGTCAAAAAAGGGTTGAGAACGAACGTGCTGAGCGAAGGTTAAAGGCTCACCGTGTCGAATAATCGGTAGACGATGACTTTATGGTCGTATATTTCATAAAAGGGGTAACTTTCTCCGAAAGTACCCCTTTTTTTCTCGTTACTTGTCAAGAATAAGTCGGAAACTGCATTTCTGCAGTACGTGGAAAAGCGGAGATTTCTTCTTTCCCTCCTTTCCTACCCTTCATTCTGTATCCCGGTTATAAAACTTCTTCATCAAACATGTATACGTGTGCGATAGTACCTGCTTCAATAAAAAAAATTACACTGTGAAAAAGGGTTGCTGTTCTTTATATTTCGTGCAATTGTATGAGTTTAAGGAGAAGAATTACTTCGACTCCAATTTTCATCGAGCAAGAGGAACGTTGCACTATATCGACAAATTAATTTCTCGGAATCTAAATAATTAAATGCACAATTTATAATTATATAATGCTTGTGTGAAACAGCGATCAGCTGTGTCATTGTAGACAAATTATACATTTTGTTGATTTAAATATTAAGGAGAGATTGAATCGCGATATTATATCCTTTATATTCAACGATATTATATCTTTTTGTTACAGTTCCAAAAGCGGAATATGACCGGTGATCTGAGTTTCTCGCTGAATCTCGGTGAGTGAGAAAAATTGGTTTGTAAACTGGTGGTGGGACTTGAGATGACGGGTGTTTATAAGACTCGTGGAAATCGATGTAATTTAGATTTTGGCACGATAAACATTTCTCGAGTGAATTTATTAAGTAAATTCTCAAATTCTGCTACGAAATTAATTAAAGCTGTTTTTTAACATTGACGAAGAATCTATAAGAAACGTCATTAAAGATATAAATATTATTTGCCTCACAAGTAAAGTGTAATGGTAATTAATATGAAAACATATGCGACTCTATGCAATGTTTCGAGATGCAACAGCGAATTAATTTAAAATACTTTATAACTGTAAATGTCCTCGAATTTCAACGAGGAAAATAAGAGCAATTTTATTACATTTAATTTATTACATTGCTACCTAAAACTCTGACAATTTTCCGGCAATTTGCAAAGTTCCGTATATTTTTAATTATAAAGAATATTACGATATGTCGTTAAAGTTGGAATACAAACACGTTGGAATACGAATAGGTCAAATATATCATATATAGGAATCAATAACGCGCGATATAGCGCGGGTTTATAGTATTTAATTAAAAGTAAAAACCTTCGAGCAAACTAAAATATAATTAATCGCGCGACGAATGACGTTTAAAATTTTAAAAGAAATTTGATGCGAGTAGATCAAAGTTTTTGACGATGACACAAGGTACCAGTGGCTCTTTGAAGTTTCCATGATTTCATGTGCGTGCCAGAGAATACGTTTGGACAACCATGCGCACACGTGTGTGGTGCGGAAGCACATGTAAGAGTGTGTGTGTGTGTGTGTGTGTGCTGTTCGTTATGACGCGCGAGCGTGACGAAGACGAGCAGAGCACAATTCTATTGTGGAGGAAATCCCTTGTTTGCTCGCAGATCTGGCGAGCAGCTGATTGGGATTTTCGAGCTCTCTGCTCGAGTATGGATTGCACATGGCGCGTCGTTTTCGTAACGATGACGTTCACGTGTTTGCGAATTCAAGAACGGGAAACAGGCCCAGATGCGACAGCGGTTTTCCTCTGTAAAATCCTGAAATATGAGAGCTCTTTCCCTTCTTCTTGAAAATCTGGAAATATTCCCATAGAGGACTAGTGTGGATAATTTATAAATGGAAGGCAGGCTTTATAGAATTAAATACTCGCAATCGCAAAATTAAAATTTTACAACGAACCAATATATAGTTACAATCGCGACGATCACAATCTGTGCGAAATTCACGCGAGAAAATCAAAGTATCTCCTATTTTTAAGATACATGGTCTTTCGGGGATTTCCACAATTTCATTTGCGTACTCGTCGACCCTGAAAATGTAGCGTTTGACGGAAAACTCGTAAAGAAAATAAGGAGAAGAAAACTTAGTGAATTACCGAATTAGATACCTTCATAACATTATTTAACTACACGTGGATCCTCTTTTCCTCGCTATGTAAGTCCGACAGAAAAAAACAGAGAGAGAGAGAGAGAGAGAGAGAGAGAGAGAGAGAGAGAGAGAGAGTTCACCCTATCGTCAGGTTTATTTAATACAAAGCTGGCGGCGTGTGGGGTGGCGCTCGGCTGCCTCCAGCTGTGGGCGCGGAGGTGGCGACAACCTGTTGAGTCAGACAATATCGCGTTTTTACTAATGCCACATCGTCGTCGTCCCGACACGAGGATCGAGGGGGTGGCTGCATTTTTGCCACGATCCCCGCCAGGACCCCAACTCGGGATCATTATTATCGAGTCTCGGATTATTAACCCCGAAATACTTGTAAATCCGCGGGGATGGAAAGTGTTCGTCGAGACACCAATGTGTATCCCGGTGGATACACGCCGGAACGGCACGTATAAACGATAATGGGAATAAATAACGTACTTTCATCGTTTCGCGTTTAACCAACGACGAAACGACATTACCGCGATCATGAAAGAGCGATGATATCGAGCATCAGCCGAGATTTCGCCGATCCCTTTTTTCTTTCCGGCACGTGCACACGTAATAAAACATTTGTTTAAACTTACTTTAATATACGCTACTCGTGTGTGTGTGTGTGTGTGTGTGTGTGTGTGTGTACATCATATGCTCGTACGGTGCGATTTATGGCGAAGTCTCTACTTCAGCTTCCTTTCTTATTGAAATCAGTTACTAGTAAGAGGATTACAGACGCGTTAAATCCGTCCGCGAGAAGGACGATACATCGCATTTCAACGTATTTCCGCGGTCCGATATTACCATAATATAAACAGCGTGACGCGTTTATGTCGACATATGATGACTGCGAGACACACAGGAAAATATTTATGTGCTGGACAAATGACCCAAGTCCTGTGTAACCTTGAGAATCTCGTGTCGTCTAATCGCCACTATTGATCGACGCGTGTATATATGTGCTTGAATGTATGTTCAAGATACTTCTATTCTATTCCGAAGTTTATTCTATTGAAAATTTTCTCTCATCCACGAGAAACTGATTTCTCTCGCGCGTGTCAGAATATTTGTCGATTGATTCGCCGGCTGATATATAAATCGTCGAGCACAACGTGCATTGAAAATCGTGCACTTTAGTCGAGAAATACATCGCGATATAAACGATGATAGTGTTAGAAGAATACCTTTCATATCGAGCTTCATCATCGAGTAATATTTTTCCAGCCCTCCCATATTTTAATATGTTGCTAAATTAAAACGCGATAATATGGTTGATACTTACGACACAATACGCGTATCGGCATATCCAACGAGAATACATACACGCGGCTTATCGATCTCACGCGACCGCGTATCCTTCACGTCTTCTCGACGAATACAACAACCTTCCGTAGACTTAGGAACGGAGATAAATCTCCGAAACGACAGGAAGGGCACCTACAGCGGGGTGTCCCTGCTATTGAGCTGATCTTCAGGGCCGTACCCATCGATCTATTCAGATGCACAAGAGCATATCGGTGGCGCAGATTCGTAAAGCGAGTACGCTAAAAGAGAAGGACAGTCAGACGGTGGATGTGCACGGTGGAGAGAGGGAGAGATCGCGGAGGAGAGGAGGCAAGTGCGCACCGTCAGCAGCAAGGACCAGGTGCATCCTCGGGAGCCTGGGAAGCGCAAACTACGGCGAATGAAACGCCGGCAGATGCTACCAAGCCGCGAGAGAGCGAACGACCGAGCCCTCCGCGTCTCCCGTCTATATGCACAAGCCGCATTCCGTCTACGTCGCCGACTTTGTTTGCTCACGAGTGCGTCGCGCCGCGTCGCGCCGCGCCGCGCCGCGCCGCGCCGCGCCGGTGCATTCGAGCACGGGATTCACTCCTCTCGAGTGCCGGGCCTGATGGCGGGAAATCCCGATCGATCGTACTTCCAGTCGAGCATTTCCTCTCTTCTTCTTCGGTTATTCAGGAAACTGCCCCCCTCCCCCGTCCCGCAAGTGCCTTGGATCATCCTTAAATCGATCTCATCTCTGACCGCAGCGCGATATTGTTTCTTCCGGGCGCCTGCATTAATCGAAAGAATTAAAATATCAAAGGAGAGATTACTGAGATGAGTGAATGAGAAGCGTCGAAGCGCGAAATTGGAATTTTGATCTCGTGGAACAATATCGGTTCCCTGAAAACAAAAATTTCAAGCTGCGCGCGTTTGATTCTCACTCGCTTGTCTCAATGAGACGAGGAATCATCAATATAATAAAGTTTGAGCCCCAAAAATGTATAAATTCAATGGCGAATTTAACGTTCCGAGAAAGGGAGAGCGACCGTTGTGCGCAAATTTGGCATGTGAGAATGATTCGTGTGTCCCGAGACGCGAATCTTACGCGAAGGTATAAGACACGCTCTGTATCGATTACATCGATTTCCCGAGAAACCGCCGACAAGTAATAATAGGACATTGTTAAGAACGGTTACGTGAGAAATGCCGAAACGTTCGTTACGCTCGCGATTGCGTCAACGGGCCAGCGACTTTTCTCTCTCTCCCTCTGCCTCTCTCTCTCTCTCTCTCTCTCTCTCTCTCTCTCTGCCTTGTTTTCTACCCTTCTCTCGTCGGAGATCGAAAGTGTTGCTCGAAAATAAACGCGCCTTCGTTTCGCGTTACGTCCGGTCGCGAGCGCGCGCCGTTTCGTCACGTATTACGAGGTAACGCCGTCTGCACCAAGACTTTCTCCTTGACTTTCACCGTAGCCGTTATGAACAATCGCCGTCGCCGAACGATCGCCTTTATTATTTGCACGGTACACTTAGCCGTTACGCAATCGCTCGAATTGCTTTCATGCACCATGTGATAATTTGTTTAGCGCCACCGAAATGTGGGTTATTGAAAAAACTCGAAACGCCTGAGATTACTCAGTCTCATTGCTCGATCGACTCACCGACAATCCGACACTCGTAATCGTCAAACTGATATTTCGAATCCGCAAACGAATCTTTTTCTATCGATACCTGGCGCAAAAAAGTCGATGTTGCAAACGCGAAACACGGCGATGTTGAGTTTGTCAAAGCTGAGAGCTTTGTCAATCTTACCTGCGTGTAAACCCGAAGAAAATCCCTCGAGAACCTCCTCGATCGTTAGGCCAACCAATGCGAGCGCCAGCTCGAGCGGTTTTTACGAGGTCTCCGCGATTGTTACTCCGCGTAATGTATCGTGAAATTAAAAGAGCAACATGTGCGCCGTGGGACCGGCGTCCAGAAATTCTGTCACGATGACGAATCAGACGGCATGACTTACGAGCGCGATCGACCGCGCGCGCGACTTGCCATATGTTCGATATATGATCTTGTTTGTTTAGTCTAATACCAATTCGTCTCGGTTGTTCTCTCTTCTCCGTGTCCGTGGCAAACTTTGCATGATATTTTCACTTCGTGCCACGAATCTCCTTAATGGACTGATAGTATCTAGTAACCGGGCGGAACGGGGGGAGGAGGGAGAGAAAAAATTCTAATCTTGTCGCGTCGCTCGACGAGGAAAAAAGACGAGGAGAAACGACAGAGAGAAACGATTGAAAAAAAGGAGAAAGAGGAAAAAGTTACACGTCACGGTGATGAAGGAACGAGCGCGCGGATACACGTGAGTTTTTTCTCCGCCATCGGCAACCGTTCTCTAGACGGAACGCCGCGCCGCGCCGCGCCGCGCCGTAAGGAGATCAAAACGAAAACAACCGCGCGCGGCCACATAACACGGGCCGCATTAATTCGACCTCTTGTCCCAGAAGTATCTCCGAGAACACTTCCCGGGGAACCTTGATGCAGTAACTTTCATGTGGCCTGACCTACCTCACGCATTTCCCCGTAACTTCTTCCTCGTTGCCTCCACTCGACCCCTGGCGAAGCAGGTAATCGGGATACGCTGCTCCACGCTGTGTTCCGAATCGTAGAATTTCCTCGTGATACGCAAAGTAGACCCTGTGTGACCGCGAAAAATTCGACCGATTTTACGGAGGATTTTACGGAGAATTTGATTTGATTCTCCCGTTCGATCGAAATTTCGCATTCCAGATGATTGATACGATACGACGCGCAGCATCTCATTTCTTGCGACGACATACGACACATTCTGTGTATTTAAAATAACCCATATATTTATACATAAAATAATTTTATAGATAACTCAGTGCGTAATGTTGATGAGTTGAAAATAAAACTAAATAGTTAATGAGATACATTAACTTGTATCAAATCCACTGTAACAAAGAATCGGCGAAGTTTCGTCCGCAAAATCTGCGAGTTTGCAACAAACCGTTTTTCTGATCAATCGCTCTGATAAAGGCAAACTTAATGCATCACATAACTGACCAATTGCTCGCCATTTGGAAATCCCGCGTTTCCGGTTCGCGCCGGACTGATAATTCTCGGTGTGTAGCGCGAAGGATCGCGCGAAATCCGGGATTGGCGGCACCTGGCCTGCCCGGAGCAAAGCGATTAATTTGTATTCGTCGAAGTGACGTCAGTCGAGAACGAGAGATACGCGGAAAGCGAGCGACCTGAAGGAGAGAACGAAGGGAAACACGCCTGCAGGTGAGGCGCGCTGCGCGGAATCACGAATCCCTACCGTTCGTGCTCGTCCTTATCCGCGGCTTATCGACCACGATTTATGTCCGTCGAAGGGCTCGTTTCTCAAATTTCGCCGCGCCCTTCTTTCACGCGGCGCGGCGGCGGCGACGGCGACGACGACGGCGGCGGCCGCGCGTTCCCGCGGGAACCGCATTCGGCCTGATAAAGGAAACGTGAGAACCTGCATTGTCACGTAGAGCATATATCGTCTTAACGAAAAAAGTCGCCGTCAGATACGGAGACGAGGCAAGATAAAGCCCGAAGGAAGAGCAGGAACGGGCAGGAAGGTCGACGTGAGGATGCAACTCATTACGACAGCTGTCTTCGCTGTGGGAAAAATCCTTCGGATACGCATCGAACAACGGGGGGGGTGGGGTGGGGGGGATCCATCCAGCCTTCAACCTACGGGGGTTTGTGTGATTCGGAGGGGGAGGGGGAGATTCATAAAGCAAGTAACCTTTGATCAAAATCGTTTAATCGCCAAGCGCACTCGGTATTCGTCAATCATTTTCGGAATGGATATGTTTGTGCAAATATTTTGCACAAGAACAAGTTGATCTATCGCGTTGAGCGACCGGTTTACCAAAATATCCAGACACATCGAGACAAGCCAAATTAAAAGTTTATTGAAAGAAGGCGGCAAGAAAAGGCAATCTTTTTCTACAGTCTCGGCTTCAAAAACTCAACCGATTCAGGCTCAACCGGATGAGCGAACGATTTTTAATAACTGACGTCATCGTCGTTTCGCAATTTTCGTAGCTTCTCATTTTTATGAGTGATATTATGTCGCGCGGTCGATACGACGCGACATGTAGTCGCGATGAAGCGGCCCCGCTCGAAACGCCGCGCGTTAACGCGCGGTCCAAGTCCTGGCGAGGGTCCCACAGCCTTGGAGGAACATATGGTCCACGGGCTGAGGGCATCGTTCATTGGCCGACACGCAGACTCGTAATCTTGCTATTTATCACGGGATGCGAGAGCGCAGCGGTAATCTTCGTGCGTTAAGCCGGTCGCGGCAATCGGCTGAAAAATGCCGACAGTAGAGAGGGTTGACCGGCGAGAAAGAGAGAGAGAGAGAGAGAGAGAGAGAGAGAGAGAGAGAGAGAGAGAGAGGCAGAGAGAGAGAGAGAGAGAGAGAGAGAGAAAGAGAGAGAGAGAGAGAGAGAGAGCGAAAGTGTGAGAGAATGATTATTTCGCTGATATACGTACATCGGGGAAAAATGTTGTTCTAAATATACATTTACAAATATATATAAAAAATACACAACCGACGCGCTCGCGCGAATACAAATTTGACGCGTAACACCTTTCGTGCGCGATGGAGTAATAACGAACAACAGCAATTACTCCAGGAAGCAACTTCTCAAGCAGTGGTAAATGGCCTGTTGATTTAGCCGTGACCAATCGTTATCCGATATCGACGCGGATGAGCGAACACGCTTCTGAAAGAAAGTCTAAAGACTAGCTCGTAAAGACCGAGTGTTAACGTATCGGGCTAATCTACACGCGACTAATCCGTAGTTAATCGAATCTCTTTCATTCACGTTAGGATGTTCGCGCTTAAATAGATTTCAGTCAGTCCTCGTACGATCCTCGGGACATCGTTCGGGACTTTGTCGCTTCGATTAATTTGCTCGAGTCGAGAGCAAAGTTCCCGCTACGTGAGTGAGATTTCCGAACGACGTGACCGATTCTTCTCTCGGACACTCTCCTCGAACATCCTCCGTGAGATTTATTATCTCACCCTGTCGAGGCGCGACGTGCAAAGATGCTTATTACGGCTTGCGACTTGCGTGCTTCGAACGCCGGTAATTATTTAACGGCCTTGACGCCCCCCGCTTAAGCCGCGTAAACACAGCGACACACACGAGTCATTGTACTACAAATTACTCTGTTATGCGCGTTATAATAAAGAGAAAGATAAAAAGTAGCATTGTGTGATAGCAGCTTCTATTACCATTATTACACTATAATTTTCCTCCTGGCAAATACACACTTACCTCCTCCCCTTCGTCGTCCTGCCTTCTTGATTGAGCACGGCACGATCGTCCTCGTGGCGAATCATCCTCTTTTAGATACGTCCGACGTGAAAGAAGAGAGAAAAAAGAAAGGGAGAAAGTGCGTATGAAAACGTGTAACGTGCAACGAGAAAAAGAGATGGGAATCGAAAGTGAGAGAGAGAGCGAGAGAGAGCGAGAGAGAGAGAGAGAGAGAGAGAGAGAGAGAGAGAGAGAGAGAGAGAGAGAGAGAGAAAGAGAATAACGGGATACACATTGGGAGAGATTCATTGACACTAAAGAATCGACTCTCGCACTGTGCAGGATATTCATTGTTTATTAATTAGCTAATATTCTGAAAACATATGAACATTTGTACATGTGTTTTGTATCATGAGGTACTTGTGTATGGCATTCGTCAAATACGTAATCGTAATCGGCACGACGCATAATCGCGTGTACGAGAGCGTGCAGCACTAGTCGCGCACTCATACGCGCGACCAATCCGACCAAGATCCGCTATAGTATCTTTCTCAATCATTCTTTTCCCTTTGTTATTGGTCATCTTTTCTTTATTTCTGCTTTCATTTCCCTTCGATTACCTTGGATTCGTCTCGTGGCGGCAGTGGTTTCCTCTCCAAAAAGACATATTATCAGTTAGAGTTAATTGTGTAGATGTCGATATTCGCAACGATCGAAAAAATGCGCGCACGCGCGCGCGCGCGCGCACGTGGAATCGCGAATGGCACCTTTTCTTATTTTCTTTTTTCATTTCTCTGTCTGATCGCGTTGATCACAACGAAAGTTCGGTCCTCTCGTGCCGGACGGCGGATTCGCTCCCGCGAGACTCTCTCACGCACGGTTCCTTCGGATCTCTATCGCGCGACCATCGCGAGCTAAACCGCTAGATCGCGGCTCCGCTCTCTCTCTCTCTCTCTCTCTCTCTCTCTCTCTCTCTCTCTCTCTCTCTCTCTCTCTCTCTCTCCCTCTCTCTCTCTCTCTCTCTCTCTCTCTCTCTCTCTCTCTCTCCGCTCGATTTCGCGGCGCACATTTATTTATACGCGATCTTTCTCGTTGGACCGATAAAGCGCAGCCCGCGTTCAGTAACGTGAACGGCGCGCCGAGGTTACGGGTCTGAGCGAGCAGGCACCTTCGCGCTTTGTGTGGATCTCGATTGTCACGTTCAAGACGATTTATGTAAAAAGCGTCGTCGACCGCTCGTGAATTCCCGCAGCGAGACGTTAAACGGCAGCCGCCACGCAGCTCGTTTGTTAGTAGTGCTATTTTCATTTCCCTTTTTTTCTCTTAGAATTCGTAGCCTAGAATTTAATTATATAATATATAGATTCATTCATATATATATATAAACATTCGTTTACAACGAATTACAAAACATAAAAATTTTAGCTAGAAGACGCATGTATCAGAATGGACTACACCTAAAATCATGTTCCGTTCCTGTTTCGGCTCGCTTATTCTTATCCGATACATCTCGTTTTTCTGACACACTTATATTACTCGTTCTCTCTCTCTCTCTCTCTCTCTCTCTCTCTCTCTCTCTCTCTCTCTCTCTCTCTCTCTACATATATTCTTTTTCACCATTCCCCTTCTCTCGTCTTAATAAATCGCAGATAGATCGCATCAATATATTGCTTCGTCATCAGGTAGATGTTGCTTAATTCTAACAACGATGGGGACTCGCGGATAGCGGCAAGGAGGATCGCCTCGGCCCGCCGACTCGCCGGATCGACCATTAATTATTATTGCTACGAAACAGGGAAAGGGCGATCGCTAATCATTGCCGCGTAATCCGCAATTAAATCGACGCGACTATCGATCCTCGTCCTGTAGTCTCGTACAGCCGTTCGTTCTCTTCATTTTTGCGCCCTGCCGTGCCGCTGCGCGAGTCTCCTCGATTCGCGCCCGCTTCGCCAAGTTCTTGCCAGCCCGACGTCGATTAGCTTTCTATCGAGAGGCGCACGCTATCAACTGATTACAGGTCTTTCGCAGCGCGTCGCGGGAGGCTGACGGCTACGTGTAACACGCTCGATGATGAAACAACGTTGGAAAAATGCGCATACATTAATCAGTGTTATTATTAATATATACATATATACATATGTGTTTCAACATATATATGTATGTATATGTATACACATACATATACATACATACATACATACATATATACATACATACATACATACATACATACATACATACATATATATATATATATTAAATGATATATTGCAAATATATAATACATATGTATATATCGAGCGTGTGAAACGTAATTCTGCAATTTCTTATCATTCAGGTGTCTAATCTAATTTTCCTTCCTCTGGAGGGACACATTTTCCCCTCTGTGAAAGATCTCGTAAAATTTTTCTGCTTCGCGAAACTCTCTGGTCACGTACATGTGATAATTATCCGTTATATCTCGATCTGAATAAAAAATGCTCAATCATCCGAGGAATCAAACTTACCTTCGTCCGGGACGAGATTGAGTTTCGCGTGCGAGATCAACGTTTCGCCTCGTCCGAAGGAATTCGCAGGACACCCTTATCTCTCTCCTCCGATTCTCCGATTATTTATTTATTTATCCTTTTTCGCTCGAGTCGTGCGGCGGGCGATACCATCATCGCTATTGGCGAAGCACTCGCGAATCGAGCGATTCCTTTCGCCGAGTCCGCAACAATTTGCTAAATTACAGAATGCCCAAGGTTACGAGTACGCGACGAGAAGCCGGCGAAGGAGGAAGAGGAGGAAGAGAGGGAAGAGGGAACGGGAAGGATTACAGGAGGGGGATGGTGGGTGTAATGGTACAGACCGTAGGGACGGGCGATTCGCCACGATCGGGATATTTCATGGAATCTCGCGGACGCGTACACACTCACGTGTTTGTACTCTGATATTAACTAAATTGGCCAATAAAAGCGCGAGAAAAAATGCTCGTGCAAACAGTGTACAAAACAGAAAGAATCGACGGATTTCGAACACAAGAAACGGTCGCGAGAAACGTACCGGCCGCGTCGTTCGAAACTGATCAAGTCCGATCGGTGTGTGTGCGTGTGTGTGTGTGTGTGTGTGTGTGTGTACGCATCAACAAACGCACGCGGAAAACACAAATCCGTTTGAGAGTTCGCACAAATGTACAATACCTTGAATTTTTACTGAATGTCGTATACCGTGAGACAACGTTAAATTGCACTACACGCGGACACGAGTATTCAGAGCGTCTTATTCCTCGAAAGAAAAAGAGAGATCGACTCGTTAGTTCAGTTTTCAATGTTTTTTTTCTTTTTCTTTTTTTTTGGCCTCTTGTATTCCCAGGTGCTGTTAACAGCGATATGCCAGTGCAAATTTGCTCGATTTACGGTATTACGGTAGATTGGCCGCTTTCCGTAGCGCGCAAAGGCCCAGTGAACGGAAAAATCTGTTCGAGAAAATCTTTCGCTATTCCGGTTGATTCGTTTAATTGCAAATGATTAAAGACGAGTAAATAGAAATGAAATCAGAGCGATAATTGAATGCGTATCGACAATACACTTACGTGTAATTTGCGAAACGTAGGATATTAGGAAAATATAGAAATGAAGACGAACAAAATTTTTCAAGGTTTACGAAATAAAATATATAGAAATATAAAATTGAACCCATATATATGTAACAATACTATTGGCAATATATTTATTTCACTAGACTTACCATCTTATTATCGCACGTATAAAAAACAATATATATTCAACATATTAACCCTAGGATGCTTTCGCAGTATTCTCGGGGTACTTTCTGATGCTTTTGATGCCTTTTGATTTTTATGCTATTGTGTTTGTGTTTCGTACATGCGCGTGGACTTTCGCGATTGAATTCTTCTTTCTCGAAAAAGAGATCTTCAGCGATATACAGAGCAAAGTGAAACGTAATCGAGACTCGACGAAGCGGCCGAGATGAGAGAGATTCTCTCTTTCTCGACAGAAGATCGTTCTTCTCTAATCTTGACTTTCCCTCGCTCTGCTTCTCCCCGCAGAATTACATCCTAGGACTAAAGAAGGCATACAGCAGGAACAAAAAAATATCATGATCACCTTGCATTAAAACAGAATATAAGAAATGTCGTGTAGGATTTTTCACAAACGCCACACAGTCAGATACAATTTATTCGACACGCATGGCTATGGCACAACGGAAATCTGATAGCGAGCCCGATTGCACTAGATGCACTGGTGAGCCCTGGAGCGCATTAACGACTATCGTACGTAATCGTAGATTGACGTAGGGGCAGATATGCGCGTATATACGGTATATATAAGTTATCACATCGACAGAAAATATGTTGAACATCTCATTGATCGAGAAACATTGGTATTGCGCTTTCGCACTTAAGTAACTCTGTCCGTCACACACAGACACACACACACATACACACAGCCTTCAGTTTGCGCACGTGTACAACTAGTAATTCAATCGTGCTCGCTACAAGTAATGGGAGACGTGCATGGAATTATATTTTACGAGATGAGACCATCTTTTTTATACTCTCTCTTTCTCTCTCTCTCTCTCTCTCTCTCTCTCTCTCTCTCACTCACCATTTTCGCAAAGAATGCCCACAAAATCAGAATCACATACATTTAGAGGAAGCACGCAGATTGTTTGTTTAAAAATTATTTTCTTCGCTCTTTTGGCACAACCAGTGACGGTTTGGTTCCATGTATATGCGTGCGTACGTATGCGTATAATTACAATAGATCCGTTACAGCAAACAGTAAAGACCTCGGTGCGCAAACGTCGAAGGAGGGGTGGTCACTCGTGTGTGGAAAAAGAAAAGAAACAAAAATATAAAATAAATTCCTTACAATCGAGTGGCCTCCTCGCTTCGTCGCGATTTACCTTGTGTGCGTGCGTGCGCGTATGCGTCACGGTGAAAGTGATTTATTCGGTGATTCTGTAAAGAACTCCGGCTGTGATAGAAGAATCGCGGCCAGTTATTTTACAAAAACGCCAATTAATTCGCTTTCTCTGCGACATACGCACATTTATCAATTTGAAATGCCATGCGGGGCGTGTCAGAACAAATTCTATATGCATTTACAGCTAGAAGAGCGCATTCATTATCATTACATCGTTATTTATCGTCCATCATTGTTCATTATTCTGATGAGTCAACGAAATAAAATACGAAATACGAAATACGAAATAAAATACGAATAACGTATTAATAACGTAATAATAACGTTTAATATTAATAATAATAATAAGGATCATCATATATTATATAATCATAACTGCCTTTCTCATGTAATAATAATAATAATAAAAAAATAATACATTAATAATAATAAAAAATGATGATAATAATAATGAGGAATGTATGGAATTTAACAATAAGGAGCGTTAAGGGGCGTTAAAGGATTACAAACAATGCATTATACAAAAGCGAATCAGCGAGATGCGTCTCGATTTTGAAAAAATCAAGCTTACGCAGGGAACATCGCCGTTTTCGTCGCTTCGTCGTCGTCCGCGAAATTACCTCGTATGTTTCGCAGATAAAAATGCCCACTGGATACAATACTCGTTACGCACGATTCTTCCTCCGTCGTCTTGCCTCTCGACATAAAAACGAACGGAATTGCGAATGATATATCTTCTACTCTTTTTTTTTTCTCACTCGCTCTTTCTCCTCCTGTCCTATTTCCGCCGTGAAATTCGGACATTTTGCAAGACAATGATATGGCTAGATATATCATATATATATATATATCTATATATATATATATGTACATGTATATATATATATATATATATATATATGTGTCTCTCGATCGCGATCGGAACTCGTGCGCTTTCTTCTACGCCGACGCGTTCGTTTACGATTATTTACGATTATTTATCAGTAACGTCGCTTGTATGATATGTCTCTGAAAAACGCACGTCAGCTCTCCTCCGCTCCTTCCGCCCTCGGATATTGCTATTCCTCTTTTCATTTTCCTCCTTCTTATTCCAATCCTCGTACTTTTCATTTCATTCGCGTTCGTGTTTAGATTAGAGTTTATGTGCAACAACATGTTCTGTCACAAGCTTATTAGACCAGCGGGCGACTCGAAAACTTGGAAAAAGTAAAGAGGAAAGAGAATCTTGCTTCGTACAATTGTTCTTTTCTTATTTATGCACTTTTTCTTTCTTTCACGTCGACGGCTCACTGTTTCTCGTACGAGAGAGAGCATCGGCAGCGCGCAAACTTTAAAATATTTATCCGTAGAAGAAAACACAGAACGGGTATTATCTCAGACGACGATTCTTGCTCTCCTGTGTGGAACTACACTTCGTGCGAGATTAGCTGATTATATGAGAAATGCAAGGCGAACTGCAACGCGTGTTGAAGCGCGTTCGGAAGTGCATTGTTCCACCCGCACGGACGCGATTCGCTACTTTAATAATACTATTATTATTATTGCATTGGCTCTTTCATCTTTTCTTTTCTCCATTCATTCATCGTTAAATTCCTGAACTCTGAGGTAGTCTGTTCTGGGAGTCACATTAGTTAGTAATAAAAATGGCAAGAGTGCTATATATCATTTACCGGGGTTGCGTCGAAGTCATCGAACGTGTCTCACCAACAACTTTTTCACCGACATCGAGTTCAATATTAATATAAATATCGCTGTATGTTGTCGTATTAAACTTTTTAATAATGTACATTGACTCTTATATATATATATATACATACGTATGTGTGTGTGTGTGTGTATGTGTGTTCGTGTCCATGTCCGTGTGTGTGTACACATAGATACATATATATATATATATATATATAAATATATAATTGCACGTTGGAATGTGTGTTGACGAAAACTTATGTCGGTGAATGTTGTGCAATGTATAACAATGATTTCTACGCAAGCCCATCATTTACCGTCTTACCGCTGTCGCATGTCGGTATTATTCATTTTTAGTATAATAAACGAAAATGGAACTTTGACAAGACGTGTACGTGTGTACGGTGGTGTGTTTGTTTGTCCGTAAGTTGATGAGAGTTGTGAAAATTAAATTCCGCAAGTATTTCACCCTATGAATATTAATTAAGTTAAATTAAATTAAGACGTAGACGTAAATCGTGTTTAGATCAAATAAAAGAGACAAGAACGTTAATAATAAAAGAAAAACCAAAGAGATAAAAAACATTACGTACTCGATTGCTCGTACACGAGATATAGACGATTCCTCTTGGCTATGTCTCTATGACGCGACTTATATATCGGAAAACCTCACCAAGGGGGGAGGGGGGCATCTCTCTCCGCTCAGATATGAGCAAGTCTTTGCTCCAGTTGTACGGTACGATTGTCGAAGCGTCGAGTGTTACTTCGCGCACGCGTGAATGTTTCCTTACGCGGCTTTGCGTCTCTCGCATCCTTAGTTAACTCGCATAGTTGACTCGCATAGTTCTCTCGACGAGGAACGATCTCATCGATATGAGATCGTCGAGTTATGTCGTGTGCGCGACGCGTCAATCATCGGTGCGACTGCCGCAATTGCCGCCGTTAACGCGTAATTTCTTACAAACATTCGCGCTCCGCGCGCGAGACGCTCGGGAAATTCGTATCAGTTATTCTCGGAATTCTCATGTCGATCGCGACGAAGCACAATCGTTTATCGTCACGGCATTGCTCGCATCGATTAATCGGCGACCGATTAATTATTGGCGAAACGAGCCAATTCACCGTGACTCGAGAGATCCTTCATATAAATTTCTCTTCGAGCCGCACGTCGCTCGGCGTAAACACGTAAAACACGCAATAGCGAGTGCACATAACATTCTCGCGGGTAATTTTCGCGACCGCCTCGTTAACCTCGCCGTAACAAAGTGGTAGTATGGGCCAGGTACGCGTGATTGTTTCCGTTGATCATTGTTCAATCGAGAGCGAGACCGATCCTAGGTGGGTTTCGCATTAATTATTAAGTTAAGCTCGCATCGCGCATTGCCACACCGTTGTTCGCGGAGACTCGTGAATTTTTCACTTTCGTATTTCGCGTAAGGTCCTCGGACTTTGTTTATTTAACCGTACCGCGTCTTGCGCGAGTGCAAAACGAGCGTTTGTTCTTTCGTGGTCTTTTGTTAGATGCGTGATATACCGTATAATTGTAAATATTTTACATGGCGTATAATGCGGAAAGCGAACACAAAAAGGGAGAATGGGAAACACGTCCCACACACGCTAGAATCATGTGAGTATACACGGTGGCACGTATATGTATATGTATAATCATAGGGTGAAATACTTGCGGAATTTAATTTTCTCATTAACTCTCATCAACTTACGGACAAACAAATACATACTGCACTGCCAAACACACGCCACGTCTTTTCAAAGTTCCATTTTCGTTTATTGTACTAAAAATGAATAATACATATGAATTTAATATTAATAGAAAAAGCGAAATTTTCTTCTCTTTATTAAAACCTTATTGAAGCCTTATGAAGCTCTATATGTTGATTTAGAAAATCTTGAATTTATCCCCAATGCACGCTCTACATGCTCTTAATCATACGGAAAGCAACACGAAAAATTTAGCGGAATTATAACTTCTGTCCCTTGGAACGTTATGTGAGGTTTGTTCGTATTTTGCATTTCGTTTCGCGTGCGAATAATCCTAATGTATTGTTCCTTTTTTTCAATAATGTGTTGTATTATGTGTTCTTCCTTTACACACGATGTGTATAATTAACTTTCGAAGATGTTCCGCATATGCTAGTTACTCCTTGTCGTTTGCAATTTCGCAGCGAACCAAAACGCGCTTCATTTTGTTTTTTTTTTACTTTGAATTTTGTTTCCCTCACGCATGAATTTACACGCATTCGTATCTTGCTGAGACATATATGAGCGACAAAAGAACAATAGATGTAACGTTTGAAATTTGTAAGACGCAATTGGTCTCGAGCATAGCACCGTAAAATAACAATATTGAAAAGAGAGTGATAACTGATTTATATCTCTAGGTAATACCAATAAATTTGATAATTATGGTTGTATATACAAGGTAAGAATCAAGTATTCAATTATTCAATCAACTTCCTCTTAATAACGGTAGATATTTTATAACGGTGATAATTTATAACATAAATAGTCGATAAATGAAGAATTTAGTGTCGCATCGATGTCTTAACCGTCCGATCGTTCGAACGTTCTTAGAATGATCTCGAGATTGTATAGTAAGAACGCCGATGCGAGAAGTAAAGTCGCAATCTGCCGAGCCTAACCAATTAATGCGAAAACAACGATGAAAAAATTATGCGGAATCTATCGTGAATATTGGGATGAGCTCACAGTCGAGATTGCTAAAAATTCCTATATATTCCATATGATCTTCGGCTTATGTAATTGTAACTTGTAACTTGGGCGCGTAAAAACTAATGTAATCTCACGAGGCTCGTTCTTACGCCGATTTTCCGGTTTACTTCCGAAAATTATTTATGCGTTTATAAGACTTTGAGGAATCTCCGACTGTTTCGAGGCGACTAAGTGCCAAAAACGACGAAAGCCGACGCTGTTAACGTTTTACCACATTTTTTTCTCTTTCCTTTTTTTTCAATTCCAAATAATATTCTCCCTCTTTTTCTCTCTTATGATTCACATACTAATAGCTCTAAGAAACGAACTTCTTTCCGCGTTAACGTGAGTTTTAATCCGAACAGTGTTTCGATCTCATAAAAAATGTTTATCAATTCGGTTTTGACGAACGAAATAAACTGACAAAGCGATAGAAACGCAGTAGGTTTCGGTGTGGACGAAACGTTAACAGCGTCGGCTTTCGTCGCTTTGGCACTTAGTCGCCTCGAAACAGTCGGAGATTCTTCAAAGTCTTATAAACAGACAAAAAATAATTCGAAGCTATCGCTCGCTCGCGGCTCGAAGTATAAATTTTTACAAAACATACTCGATTCGTACACGAGACGTAGACGATTCCTCTTGGCTATGTCTCTATGACGCGCCTTATACCGGAGAACCTCAGCGAGGGGGAGGGGGCACGCCTCGCGAAAACCGTGTCCCTATAGAATCACTGGCTCACTGTTTTGAACGCTCTCGAACGTTTCATTATCTTGAACGTTGTGTTGAACGTTCTCCTTCTTGTGCTC